GAGACTTTACAGTTTGCAGGTTTATTTTACTATACTTTATGCGTCATCGAGTGATCATGGTATAACGCGTTTTAGTGCAATACACCAGCGGTTCTTAACCTTTTGTAGAACACTGACCCCCGATGAAATATTTTTAGAAATCGCGGACCNCCCCCCCCCCCACCCCTACCAATTTTTTTTCGAATACCCTTTTTTACAAAACATATCAAGTTATCATAACCAAAATTATAATAACTATTTTATATTAAATATTTTAGAAGTAGACATAACAAAATATACACATTTATAATTATTTTGATTAAACTTAATTTTTAATTTTAAACTTTAACATCATTAAACACTTAAGTTTAAAAAAAATTGTTATATAAATTATTTTATCACGGCCCGCCGTGACAGACAATATAAGATTATAATTTTTTATGAAACAAAAATAATAATCCAAAAATATTGTAATAATGCCTTTATGTCACGTATTAACTTGTGTCAGGTGGTAAGGCTGCCGCAGACCCCCGACATGAGTATTGCGGACCCCCAGGGGGCCTCGGACCACAGGTTAAGAACCGCTGCATTACACTATAATAATATGATCATTCACATTGGATAAGATTATTATATTAATATAATGTTACATTATACATACAAATCGAATTCTACTTAACGACTCTGACAGTCTGACTATATGGATATTACTCGTATACATTTTATTATAATCTTTCACAAATTTTTGAAAATCAATTTTGTTTTTTTTTTATTAATATTGAACCCAATTATTACTTTTAATTGTTCTATCAAGTATTTAGTGACATCGGTAATCTCATTCAAATCGGTTATAACTGCTATTATAATAAAGTAGACACCGCTTATATTTAGACATACGAATTTAAGGTTCAGTCGCTAATTAAACTTAAAATCGTCTGAAACTTTCCGAACGTATCGAATTACATTAAAAAAACTGTTTTATACTGGTTATATAATTCTTGAGAAAAATCCTCGGAAAAATTCACTGTAAAATCTTAGAAAATAAACTGTTGTGTTGGTTATTACTGTTGTTACCTTATTACTGCTAAAATGTTTCTAACTGAGTTAAAAAATCACTGAATATTCATTAGTTATAAGTGTACATCAAGTTACTTTTTAAAGCACAATTATTTATGCGGTCTTGAGCCTTTTAAATTGATGTTGCGTATTTTCTGTTGAAGTCAAGCATTATTTCCGGTGGGAATGTGAATCTAGTTGGTGCATTTAGGAGGTCAAAATTTAAAATTCCTAGTAGTTTTCAAAAGCGCCAGAAAGAACATAAAAAAAAAAATTAAGGAAAAACTGGAAGTTTTACGCAAATACGGTTTTTGGTGTAATTTAAAAAATAATTACTGTAGATATATGAAACTTTCATTGAATCTTTATATTAGTATTATCTATACACCATACAATTTTCAAAATTTTGACTAATGTTGAACTATTTAAAGACATGTTATTTCAGATTTTTATTAATTTTTAAGATTCTGAAGGGACAAAGTACTTAAAAATAACGAAAATGTTAAAATTATTCTAACTTACACGCTTTAACTAAATTTTGTTTTAAATAAGAGTGGAATAGTCTATTTTCAAAGCGAGTGGTTTTTTTTTAAATTACTTATTTGGGCTGGTTAAAACTTTTGCCCTCCTCCTGTTGAAAACTATGATGATGCCATTGATACAAAAATTAATTATTGATAAATGACACTACCTACTGGTTTTCAATAATACCGATCATAAATACTGACTAAATATGATTGAAAAAAAAATCGTACCTTTAATAATATATTTTTACTTAGGTTACCATTAATAAAACTGTATGATAAGTACCCGTCTATTATATTTATGTACTATGTAAATTGATTTGAATAATATTGTATTACATTTTAATTTATAAATATATGTATAAAATATTAATGTATGTAGGTACCTAAATAATAGGAATTAATATTATTATTTATTTCAATTCATGTGTAATTCAATACCTACATAATATTATGTGTACTTTAGATTATAGATAAAAAAAATTATCAGGTAAAACGGCGTATACATCTAAGAAAAAATAAGATAACAATACCGAATACAATATATCCAGATGCCCTTTTAAAAATTAAAATAATCTACACAGAACTGTTGAATGAAAGGACTTGTACCTACCACATAAAATGTATGCTAATTGTTTACAACCTACACAGTTTGTATCAATAATTATGATTTTAGCTGTTAGCGTATTACCATATTCTATCTAAATATCAACATCTTTTTGTATTTTTTCTTTCCGATATAAGAAATTATTTAACTGTTGGAAAAGTTGTGCTTTCTGTGACTGAATATACTGCATTATTCATAGGTAAAGAATACATTAATATAAGAACTCCAGTGGACGACTAAAATTACAAATTCAACCTAGGTACGATGACAGTGACTCAGATAAGACAAATAATCATATACGTAAACTTATCGAATCTTTTTGAATCCTAAAATATTTCACTGTAGTTTCCCATAGTTTGTAAATACCTGGTATAAAATATTTAAAGATGAAAACGTTTATAAATTGTTTTTCGTTAATTTTATACTAGCTTTTTATCATTCTCTCATTTACGTTTGCTCTTTTTCTATCAAAATTTGTCGTAGAATCCAGTGAAACACCACATATGCATTTTGAACGGGACTATACGTCCTTACTCTAGGCACCAGAGGTATTTATATGGCTATATGGCTATATTAGATATCCATAATCTGTACGACATAGTAGTTAGGTACATAGTGCATTAGTGCATCGTATATATACACAGTATATACATACCCAGGTAGCAAAAATGTAATGATAATAATACTAAAATATTATTAATTCATTACACCTAAAATAATATAATTAAAATAATATACTATTGTTTTATTTACTTTACAAGTTTTATATTATTATAGTAGTAACAAACAAATATTATTATATTATTATTATTATGAAATTATGAAATTAATATTATTAATAAAACAATATAGTACGGTTTTATTTTCAACAAACATATAATATTATTTTTAAAGTAACAACAAAATCATCCTATATTATTATTAATTCATTACTAACTTAATATTAAAAATAAAAAAATTCGGGTAGGGGGATTCATATATTAGTTTTTTTTGGGGGGTTAATAGCATATATATATATATATATAAATATATTACACAACTTTTAAATTTCGGGGGAGGGGGGGTTGAACCCCAAAAATCCCCCTATGTATACGTGCTTGCCACTTTCATACGAAGGTGTATTGCACAAAATATATTATGTACAATATTAATTACAGTTTAAGTATGCGCCCTTGTCTGTGCGTGAATGGTGTACTTATGAATTTATTTTAAAATAATTAAAAATTGTATTACAAGACGTATAATATTCTATCATATATACATATATACCTATACGTGGCTACGTATATTGTGTAATGTATATATATAATATATATAGATACACGTACACAATTATTTTCAATTTATAATTTATATATTATTCAAATTATTATCAGAATTTATGAGATAACGCGATGTATTTACTATTATTATTATTTAGTAGGTATTTACTATTTACCGATTTAGTATTTGGGCCTTGGGCGTCCCTTCTCCCCCCCCCCACGTGGATTCTAGCTAGCGGTTGAGAGTTTGAGACATTTCCCCCTGAATCGATATATATATTTTTTACACCTAATAATAGGTTGGAAAATAGGTTCTCCGTTCTATAAATAACTGTGTGTTTATTGTTATTATTGTTATCAGCATAATATTTATAACACCGCCCGCTTGCTATAACGTATTAGTGTATTACCCATATCCTGCCGGCCCACGACGCTCCAGTGCACGATTCGTACAACTCTATATTATGACCATTTCACTCAGTGCGCATCGTGATCGTATTGGTTATTGTTAATCTTTGTTATTAGGTACTTTTAAACTTATTGTGTAGTTGTGTGTGTACTGTGCCCGGTGTGTCACTTTGTCTCAAGCTCAACTCTCAATATTGTTGACTGTTCACTGTTGTCGAAACTTCGGTCTGTGTCAAGTACTCAACTACTCAAGAGTGATATTACCTACTTTATATATTTTCGGCGACAATAGGTAAGTAAATCTACGTATTAGTATAATGTAAATTAAGTATAATACGAGTCACGAGATACTTAATACTTAGGTATCAGATTCCACGGGGCATACTGACAGCTACCTACCTATAAAATCTTACATATTTTTGATAATAATATGCTGCGTCGTCGCGTCGATGTGCACCCGAAATCTAAACTACTGTGATCGCTAGGTATTCACAATCGTAGAAAATCACGAATGTAAATTGTAAAAGCCCTTGAGGTTTTGACATTAAGCATCACAAAATGTAGATTTCCAATATGCTATGTAGGTACATCGAACAAACAAAATTATGTTTAATATAGGTAGGTAGGTAGGTAATCTATGCGTTATTTTAAACGACCTATATTATACAGTATCATTTCAATTAGTCTCTACCTAACCTTCAGAAACTAGATTATATATGTAGGTAGTTAATGATTAATAAATAAATTACAGATACCTACCTAACCTCTATACATTTCTTTGTTTATACATAGGCGCAACTAGGGTTAAAATTCTGGGGGGGCTACAGCCCTCCTAACAAAACTATGAACTTAAAATATCCCATAGAGTGCCATCCCCCCCTAGTCCCTACATACAATCAAAACAAATTTTAGATTCTGAACCAAGAGAAGAACATAATATTGGCTTTACAACAATTTGTTTTTTTTATGTATGTGACACTATCGTGAGTAATGTAAGCCTATCATAAAAATGGTGTACTCTACTCAACATTTTATAGCAACCAATAGTAATTAGTATCTTACTAGTTTCTTAAAAATGTAATATTAATTATTATTATAACTAAATTTGTATACCTCTAATATGAGAGTAAGAAAAAAGAAAACAAGTCAACTTTAGGTAACATTTTAATATATTAACGGTATTTTTCTATTGTTAGCACTTGAAAAATCGTTTAAAATGTCTTCACTGTTAATATTGTTTGATATGTCTCTCTCAATATGAATGATAGATAAATTTGAAAACCGTTCTTGTATCATAGTAGACCGTAACCATGTTTTGACTCGCCTCATCGCAGAAAATGACCTTTCACAAGTTGCACTACTTATTGGCAAAGTATATGCAACACCAAGGAGTTTGTATAGATTTGGAAAAGTAGCTTCATTTATGATACTTTTCATTTGCTCTGGATCACCTAATACCTGATCTTGATACACAGTTTGAAAAGCATTTTTTGCAACAGTCATTTCCGCCATTAATGTATCAGTATCAATTTGAAACAGATCCTATAATAGTATACAGTAGTAAAAAAATATAAATTAAAGCATATAATCATAATATTCATTGTTTAGATATTTTATTGAAAGATGATGTATTTTTACTTTATAATGGTTAATGAATAATTTGCTTTCTTTAAAATCAAGCAGAAAAAAATTGTCGATGGACTGAGCAAGCTCTAAACTTTGATCAGGAAAACGACGAATAAGATTTTCAATAACAGAATCAAGCACAGCATAATATTTGATTCGCCAAAATGCTTCATTTGTTACTTGAGCAGAAACTTCTTGTTGAGCACTAGTTGTAGAAGTTACATAAAAATTTGACAAACGTGTACTTTCAACTCTTCTTCTTTTCGACCCAAGACCTAAAAATTAGAATGAATATAAATTACTAATTATAACATTGTTATTTTTACAATTAGAAAGTAATATAATTTGAAAAAATACAAATTAGTAATTACCAATTGTAGGTTTCTCAATCGAAACTTGATGCTTTTTGGCAAATTCATTTATTTGATTCCAAATAACCAAAAATTTATCATCATTTCGATAATCTTTTAGACTTTGTATTACAGAATGAATTATTTGAGCTGCTTGTCCTAGAGTGGCGGTTTTTTCTTGTAATCTATTACTCAGAATGTTTACAACAAGTAAAATTTCATACAAAACAAATAGATGAACCACAAATCCTGGTTCCTGAAGTAATGATAAAATTCCTAAAAATAATACATTTTATATTTTATTGTGTATGATTAAAATTATTTATTATTTTTAGTTTAATTTAACCTTTAGCTTGTGCCACATCTCTATCATTGTTATCTTCAATTTCTTCATTAAGAACTTCAATTAGAGCAGGATAATTTTCCATAATTACTTTACAATTATGATAACGACATGACCAACGTGTGTCACTTATTCGAGTTATACTTTTGTTCTTAATCTTGAGTTTATTTTTAATTTCTAGAAATTTATAGTTGGTAGTAGGCATAGCAAAATGTACATATACTGCCTCTAAAGTATTAAATAGACTTTTAGCTTCCTAGAAATAAATTAAAAATGATTTATAAATACTATAAAATTGTAAACATAACTAAAATGTATAAATGTATTTATATTTCATATTTACATTAACTGACTTGCACATATCTATTACAACTAAATTTGTCCTATGTGCCATACAATGTGTATAGATTGCATATGGATACTTTTCTTGAATTTTTTTTTGAACACCACCATGTTTCCCAGACATAACACTTGCTCCGTCATATGATTGAGCAATATTATGGGAACATCAATTAAGTTATATTTTCCGAGAAAACAAACAATTGCTGATGTCAACGATTCTGAATTTTGATTTTCAGAAACATTGATGAAACCCAAAAAACGTTCAAAGATTTGAAAATGATTGGTATATCGAACGCACAATGCCATTTGTTCTTCTTTAAAACTTCTAAAAAGATATATTTTATTATAAAAAATATTAGCTAATAACATTAGGTAGTTAGTAACTCAGGTATGGTTTATTACCTGGCTTCATCACACATTATAGAAAAAAAACCACATTTCTTTATATCAGTGCTTATAGTTGAAATTACATTATCTGCGCATAGTTGAACAATTTGATTTTGAATTGCCCAACTTGTATAATTAATAGGTGTTTCATATTTTTTGAAAAAGTCTGTGTTATGTTTAGCTATTAATTTACATGTTTCTAAAAAATTACCTGAAAATTACAAAAACTTTTATATTTTACCAATATTATAATATTGTTTAATTTTGAAAAATAATAATTATAGTATGTATGTTTATTAAATGTTTTACATATTTTTAATAAGATACATACATATTTTTTATTTATACCTTGATTAGTAGACAGTTCTTTTTCATCATGACCACGGAAAGCTAGACCTTGTCTAGATAAATATAATACAATATCTATTAATATTTTCAAATATTCACGGTTTATAGAAATTTGTTCTCGGTTTGCAGTTTCTAAGCTAGTGTGAACAGAACCTGACTTTTTTGTTTGTTTAAGAGCAAACCATTTTGCTGAACATACCAAATGGTGATTAGAACTGCCATGAAGTTGTAATTTTGATTTTGATCCTTTCCCTTTAGAGCCACTAAGCTGTAAATAAAAATAATTAATTTCTATATTTACCTACTAATAACTGTTCACAAATGACTAGGCTATATACAAATATATAATAGGTACAGTATGAAAAAATGTACACTCTATTACACCACCTATGTAAAAATAAATGTAATCTTTTACACATTTCAAAATTAATACAATAATAAACTTGGTTAAAAACAGTTTAAAATTTACCTTTTTCCAATTGTTGAATCCTATTTTGACAAATGTATCCTCTGAAGTCTCATTACCAAATATACGGCACACATAACAATAAATTGCATTACTCTCGATACTGTACTCAATCCATGGAAAGTGATCATACCATGAAGCACTAAAACTTCTGTTTTGAGTTCCTTGTTTGGTTTTTGGATACACCTAAACAAAATTTAAAATTTAAGTGTCAGGTAGCAACATAATTGAATAATAATGCATTTTATTACAAGTCTTAAGTTAACAAAGTACTTACCAAAATTGCAAAATACTATTATGATTTAAGCAAAAGGAAAGTAGGTTCATAGGTACTCATTTATTATAAAAAATATAACTTACCTGTAATATTGGTCGGTATGGCCCGGTGTGAATATCACCTAAATCATTAGGGCTATTCGGCTGTATTTTTTGTACTATTACGGGCTCTTCAGCTTCTACTATGGAAGTTTCTTTGACCACTACTGGCACTACGCATTCATCATTTTTTTTTTTATTAATATTGAAAATATTAAAAACTTTATTGTTCATCTTAATATCGTATAGCAATAAATTCACAAAACAAATAAGAAATAAGTAACAACAATAACTGAAAAATACAGAGGCGTAACGTTTTATAATTGTAAATATTCTTCAATATTCCAACCTCAATTACAAGACAGATGACAGTATGACCAAGCTTATCAATGCAATCCTAAATATCACAAAATAATATAAAACCCACAGTCCCTGTCTAAAAATAGATATTTTTCACTCAATATATTTTATCAAACATAATCGTTATCTCTTATCTATTTTATTTGAAAACTTTTCGAGATTTAAAATATTCATTTCTTTTTTTCCAAGTGACAAAATACAATTTTACGTGTAATATTTAAAATTAATAAAGGATATTTTTAGGGGGGCTAAACCATAGCCAGGGGGGNGTTATTACGTTAACAATCGACCTATCACTTATCAGAATTCACTATGCAGTTACCCAGTGGTCAGTAGTCAGTAGTCAGTACTCAGTAGTCAGTACTCAACTCAGTAGGTAGTCACTAGTCAGTACCCAACTTTACCCTACTTAAATAATTAATACTTAATAGATTACTTCTTAATATATCATAGTCCATAGATGGAAAATATTTGTTACAAATAATACACATAAATAAAACTTACTCATCATCACATTCATCAATGTTAACTAACAACGAGGATGGCGATGGCGATCCTGAAAATCCTTTGCGCTGATCATCCAACTCTTTAAATTTTGACTTGTGCTTGGACTGAAGGTGATTCCATAAATTTGTTGTATTTGTACCTGAATTGGCGTACGTCTTTTTACAGATTTGACATTGGGCACGTAAACCACAGTCAGTTTTAATAAAAACTTGCCACACTTCACTCATGATTTAAATTGAGGTAATAGCCATTAGCCAATAGGTAATTGTAAATTCGAATATCGTAATTCGTAAACTAAACGTTATTTTAATAATAATTGTAATGATGACGTTATGGATTAATGTAACAAATTTTGTATCTACAGAAGATATAAATAGATCAATAGTCAACGTTTTCCAATGTTTTATTATGATAACGGATATATTTTTATCGTGTTTCATTAATCTGTGATACTACACACAACAATCGATTTTTTAATTGTTAATCGATTGGCTGATTAATCGATTAATCGAAACAATTAATCGATTAATCGATTATTTTTTACGATTAATCGATCTTCCGATTAATCGATTATCTAAAATTATTAAAAATAATCGATTAATCGATTAATTGATTAGGATCGATTAATCGATTGTCATAATCGCGCACCCCTAATTCGTACAACTCGGTGCGCATCGTGATCGTATTGGTTATTGTTAATCTTTGTTATTAGGTACTTTTAAACTTATTGTGTAGTTGTGTGTGTACTGTGCCCGGTGTGTCACTTTGTCTCAAGCTCAACTCTCAATATTGTTGACTGTTCACTGTTGTCGAAACTTCGGTCTGTGTCAAGTACTCAACTACTCAAGAGTGATATTACCTACTTTATATATTTTCGGCGACAATAGGTAAGTAAATCTACGTATTAGTATAATGTAAATTAAGTATAATACGAGTCACGAGATATCTAATACTTATCAGATTCCACGGGGCATACTGACAGCTACCTACCTATAAAATCTTACATATTTTTGATAATAATATGCTGCGTCGTCGCGTCGATGTGCACCCGAAATCTAAACTACTGTGATCGCTAGGTATTCACAATCGTAGAAAATCACGAATGTAAATTGTAAAAGCCCTTGAGGTTTTGACATTAAGCATCACAAAATGTAGATTTCCAATATGCTATGTAGGTACATCGAACAAACAAAATTATGTTTAATATAGGTAGGTAGGTAGGTAATCTATGCGTTATTTTAAACGACCTATATTATACAGTATCATTTCAATTAGTCTCTACCTAACCTAGGTATAGCCTTCAGAAACTAGATTATATATGTAGGTAGTTAATGATTAATAAATAAATTACAGATACCTACCTAACCTCTATACATTTCTTTGTTTATACCTATAGTTCAAGTATGAAAAAATCATTTCCATTAAGTTATCGATCAAAAAAAAGGAGAATTAATGAAGAGTTAGAAGCGCATTATAATTCTGTACAAGATAATTCTTTTTTTATTGATGACTCTGTAGATAATATTGATAAATCTCCTAGTAATTTATCACAAATTACAGAAAACAATATAGTTGAAATGAATAATAGCCCAAATAATAATGATTTTGTATTAGATGATAGTTTAACGGATAATATCAATAAGACTCAAAATTATAATTTAAATACTGAACATTTTAATGACCCGTTAAACTTAAATACTTCAACTGATGGTGATTTTATATATTTTGATACAGACAAATCTTTTTGTTTTGAGTTAGCTGATTGGTCAATACAAAACAAAATTCCACATACTGCTTTGAATAGTCTCCTATTAATTTTAAGAAAACATAAATGTTTTTCTACTTTGCCCAAAGATGCTAGAACTATTTTACACACAAAACCTGTAGAGTTATGTAAAATGCGAATTGTTGATCCTGGTAAATATTACCATTTTGGAATCGAAAATGGAATTAATAGATACTTTTCAACTTTTAATACAATAATTGATCAATCTTCAAAAGAAATGAATCTTGTTATTGGCATCGATGGATTGCCTATTTCTAAAAGCAATTCCAATCAATTTTGGCCCATTTTAGCTTATGTGAGGTCAAAAAGTAATGTTGTTTTTCCAGTTGGACTATATTTTGGTACTGAAAAGCCAAATGATAGCAATGAATTTTTAAAAGATTTTATAGACGAAGCAAAACATTTAGTTGAAAATGGTCTAGTGATTAATAATAGTATTTATAAGATAATATTAGATGTTTTTTGTTGCGACACTCCTGCAAAAGCATTCATTTTGAAAATAAAAGGTCATAATGGTTTTTCTTCTTGCACAAGATGTGAAATTGAAGGAGAGTATAAAGAGAATCGGCTATGTTTTCCTTATTGTGATATTTCCAAGCGAGAAGCCAAACGAACGCATAATAATTATGTTCATCAAACTGATATAAATCACCATTCACCATATACTACTATTTCAAGGATTGTAGAAATATCTGGTGTGAATGTTGTATCCTCTTTCTCCCTTGATTACATGCATTTAGTAACTCTGGGTGTAATGAAAAAACTTTTACTATTGTGGATCAAAGGACCATTAAGTGTTCGTTTACCATCTTCAAAAATAAAACATTTAACCCAATTATCTTTAAGTTTCAAATCTGAATTTCCATGTGAATTTTCTCGGAAACCTAGATCTCTAGATGAAGTGGCACGCTGGAAAGCTACCGAATTCCGTTCATTTTTGTTGTATGTTGGTCCTGTTATATTAAAAAATATTGTGTCTGCTGATTGTTTAAAAAACTTTATGGCCCTCAATATAGCAATGATTATTCTATTATCTCCTAATCGTAGATCATTTATACAATATGCTGATGATTTGTTAAATTACTTTGTTGAAACATTTGAACAAATCTATGGACAGTATCTTGTATCTTCCAACATTCATGGATTAATTCATTTGGTAGATGATTTTAAACAGTATGGGCCTCTCGATAATTGCAGTGCGTTCCCATTTGAAAACTATATGAAAGTTCTAAAAAGTATGCTGAGGCAGCCTAATAAGCCTTTAGAACAAGTAGTAATAAGATATAATGAAAATGGAAACTTTAGTCTAAATAAAAATGAAACCGTCCAAAGTGATGAAAATGGCTTATTATTAGGATCACATAATGATGGACCTTTAGTAAGTGGCAGCGTTAATCCACAATTCAGTTCTTTAATTTTGAGTAGTTTTAAAATTAAATGTAAAATAGATGCTGATTCTTATTTTATTTCTAAGACTAATGAAGTTATAAAATTAATTAATATTGCTCACTCACATAACACTGGTGAAGTGGTTTTGATTGGCAGAAAATTTGAAATCAAGGAAATTTTTTATGATAAACCTATAAGATCATCTTGCTTTGGAATATATATTGTAAAACAATTATCAACTAATTTATATATGTGGTCTATAAATGATATTCAAAATAAAGTTATGATATTATCTTACAATAAAGATTGCATTGCTATCCCTTTATTACATTCATCATTGTTGAAAAATTCAAGTTTGTATAAAAAAAAATATTCAAATTTTAGACTGTTAATTTTTTTGTAAATATTTGTTTTATTTGTATCAACTATAATAATATATATCAATTAAGAATAATTTTATCAAGGTTGTATCTATGTACCCGATAGGAACCTATACATTTTAAATATTATGCAGATAGTTTTCCATTTAATTATGCTAAAATTATAACACGCTTCTCTTTGAAAACTTCTACCAATGTGAATTTTTTGGTCAATGTGTGCCAAATACAAATTAATTAAAAAAGTAATTATAGTACCTATTTTATTACAAATAAAAATTATTTAAATATCGCCTAATATATCTAGTTAATTATGTGAATTGTGTGAATGTTAATTTAAATTTATTTAAACATTTTTAAGTTATTTTTTCGAGTTACTGGAAAAATTCAGTTACCTATATTGTATTTTGTTGTATTAGTTGAGCATGTTAGCACACAATTTGTTTTCTCTCTGACCAATAAGGAACATTAAAATGTTTAGTATATTTTTAGCTTTAATATTATAGTGAATTGACAATAGGTCATATTATTATCAAACTTAATAAGGTAAGAATATTATCTAGCATACATCATAATATTTTTTAGTCGATACATATTTTATTTTTAATGCAAGTTATCGGCATTTAACATATTAATATTTTGCATACTTACAAGTTCATAACAAACTTTTAAATAAAAATATCAATAATAGCCTATGATGTGCCATAGATAATATCTTTATGTAGCTTTAAGTTTGATAATAATAATAATACCTAATTTATTATAATAACTAAGGCAACCACACACAAAACTGAATTTGCTGAACACATCAATATTGGCATATTGCATATGGATCAGAGAGAGAAAACAAATAGTGAGAGAATATAATATTATTACGTTACTTATTAAGTTTACAATAACATTGTTGTTGGCGCACTTCGTGTTCTTACCGAAGCAGTTGACACGACGTACTCGCGGGGTCAGGAAAACAATAATAAAATGGTACAAATTGGTAAATGGTAGGTAGAGTATAATATCTGTATTAATCAATATCTCAGATAATAATAATAATAATAATTTAAGGGCAGTTGACGATAGACGTCTCTACGTCAACTACGTACACAAAACTCAATAATAATAATAGGTACAATTCATAATAATAATACAAAATAGCAATGCAACATACGGGGATAACTGTTGTTATTGTTGAGCGGCGGCGGCGATGGTCGTCGGAGGTGGCTGGACGTGACAATTATAGGCGACCAGCTGATCGGCGGCGGCGGCCGATAATTGACTAATCAGTTAATATGGAAATAGCTCGGCGGCGGCGATGCTTCTTGAGCTTACGTAACATGCAGGCACGCGATACGCCACAACAACGCAAATACGGACGTACTACGCGCGCGACACAACTATAGCGTAACACACGAGTATACGACACGCAATTCGGCCGACACAATACAGAAGTCGGAACCACAGACGATACCCAAAAGGTCTCCACGGACGTCAAAGCAACGACGTCCGATGTCAAACGAGACAGGGCAACTTAACTAGACATATCGGCGCGCCAACACAACATGCAAAATAGCCAGTAAGATAACACGTCGGACGGGAAGGGGAATACGCAGTGTTGCCAAATGGTACGATCCTGGTGGGGAAGTACGATAATTTTAGCGCACACAAGATCCCCCATCAG